TTTTCGTGAAGATGACATTGCACTTGTACTGTAACTCATCATCTCTTGACCAATGGATAAAACGTGGAACAGAAGCCTGCAAATTTTCATCAGCTCTTCTGGTTGAACAATTACGCTTCTGGAAGGTCTGCATTCACTATGGCTATTGTGTATCTCACTTTTCAAATCTATTTCCCGCCCTTTGCATTTGGTTAACCTTTCCTTCTTTTGAGAAACTGATTGAGCAAAATGTGGTCAATGAGTATGTGATGGTTGCGAAGGAAGCATTCCTTGTTTTGGGGTCTTTAAGTAAAAGACTTCCCAATTTCTATTCGCACCAGATGGATGCTATAATGGAAGATGACGACACCGAGAATTGGTCTTGGAGTAACGTGGGGCCCCTGATCGATTCTTCACTGGAGTGGATTGTTATAAAGAACATTCCATATATATCCAGTCTGCTTCAATGTCAAAATGATGAAAAAGAATGTGATGTCATTAATTCCCTACTGTGGCTCATTTCGTCAGTTTTGCACATGCTCTCTGGGGTTCTTGAAGCTGTTATCCCACCTGAGGATAGCAAGATCCTGGTTAATGGATCTCTGCCATGGCTGCCTGAGTTTGTCCCTAAGATTGGATCTGAGATTATAAAAAATGGATTTTTTAGCTTTTCAGGAGGAACAGATGGTACCTATAAGGTCACTCGCTCCTTTATCGAGTGTATGTGTCTTCTGAGACTTAACGCTGGGCTTGAAACATCAATTGCTTCCACTTGTTGTCTTCAAGGAGTGATGTGGGCTGTTACCTTCGTTGATAGATTGATCTCTCTACCTAAATGCAAGATTCTCAATGCATCATCAATTTGCGTAAAAACCTTATCACCAGAGGATAGAGTTCTCAGTGGTGGGATAGTGCAGTCATGTCTGCCTGAATTAGGGCATCTGATGATGAACTTGGTAGAGTCAATTGAGCACAAGTGGCGACCCATTCATTTGGTCGAGACTTTTGGTAGAGGTGGGCCTGCTCCTGGGATTGGTGTCGGTTGGGGTGCATCTGGGGGTGGGTTTTGGTCAAAGCTTGTTTTGTCAGCTGAGGTAGATGGATTGCTGATTGCTCACCTTCTCGATATACTTCCGATAGTCTCTTTGGAAAATCAGTTATCAACCCTTAATAAAGAGATTATGTGTTCTGTGATACAAAGGATTAATTCTACAATGGCAACTTGTTTGGTTGTGGGGCCAAAGGGTCAGTACGTCATAGATAAGCTGTTTGGTATCTTGTTCCAAGCTCCTGTTCTGAAGTCCCTTGATTTCATTACTCGCCAATTGATTGATCTTAACAAGTGTCTTAAACCTTTTGAGCGGGAGTACAGTGAAGAAGAATATCTACTGTTCAGTAACGTTTTAGCATCTCACTTCAGAAACAGATGGTTGGGCTCAAAAAAGAAACCTAAACCTGAAATTAGCAGAAGCTCATTGGAGACCATTCCGGAGGAAACAGACGTATCAAGTCTGGTCACACCAGGCCCAGCCGCTTTAGTAGTTGAGTGGGCCCGCCAGAGATTGCCTCTTCCCTTGCATTGGTTCCTCAGTTCACTGTCAGCTATACCTTGCAGCAAAAACAGTTCTGACACTGCAGGGTTTCTTGAAGTGGCAAAGGGAGGTCTTTTCTTTCTTTTTGGTATTGAAGCAGCATCTAATTTTTTTGGAGCCGTTTCCTCGGAATCACCGTCAGGGTATGTATGTTCGGATACACCAGAAAATGCTAGGAAAAGGAAAGCAAATGTCATGTAAACTTATTTTCATGGTGTTTGTTTTATAAACACCTTTTTTCTTTACAAATGTTAAGGTTTCTAAGAACTCGTTTGGGATGATATCTGAAATAGATAAAATCACTTTTTCCAAACAATATATTGGTGCTGTTATTGAGATAAATATGATTTTGTTTAAATAAACATCATTTATTTTTAGCTCTTATATGGTTAAAAGCTCTCTTCTCAACAAAATGCACCAAATTGATGCTTCTTTAGGAACATGTTTGGAATTTTTCTTTTCATATGCCATCCCAAATGGACACTTAATTCTTTCTACAATCGATATAGATAAATAAAATGAATTAACACAAATATCAAAGTATAATCTTAATGAGTTTGAACAAATGTGTTATTTTCCCTCATATATTTCATTCCTGCCTAATTTTCTCATATATTTTGCATCCCGATTTTGTCCCCCAGCATTCCAGGTGGACCCTTACTGTACGTGCCCATCATTTGGAAACTCCATGCCCTGTCAATTCTGTTACTCACAGGAACAGGCATTCTTGAGGATGGAAATAGTCGGGTCGCCTATGAAAATTTGCAGGGTATTTACGGGCAACTTCTTGATGCACAAGGGAGAACTGAAGTGAAGTCCCTCAATTTTCAATCAGAGATCCATGACAGCTACTCAACTTTCATTGAGACTCTGGTGGAGCAGTTTGCGGCTGTTTCATATGGCGATCTGATATTTGGGCGCCAAGTGGCATTTTACTTGCATCGGTCTGTAGAAGCTTCTGTTCGGCTTGCAACATGGAGAGCACTGTGTAGCGCTTTTGCTCTTGAGCTTCTGCCTCCTTTGGATAAATGCATATCCGCCGCTGATGGCTATCTTGAACCTGTTGAGGTACTCTATTCCCCACCTTGATTTCTTATCAGTGTTGTAAAAAGAGCACAGAGGTTTAGCGTCTAGGCTTGGCTAGGCGGGGACCTACATGGAATCAGTCTTAGGGAAAAGACTAAAATAATAGGAACGGAACATTGAAAATATACCAAAATAGGAGTTTCATGTTTTTATTCCCAAAATAGAAGTTGAATGCATATACAATGCCAATCATTCCAATATATAATACCAAAAAGTATTGTGAAATGTCCATATACAATGCCACAATCAAACTCCTATTTTAAGGATAAAAACATGGAGTTCCTATTTTGGTACTTTCTCTATCTTTTACTATTTTTTAGAGTGATTTCTTATCAGTCTTCATGTATTTTTGCGCTTTAGTTAATACGTTTCCCTACGCTAGGGACCTCATATTAGTCTTCATGTTCTCCCTCCGTCCCATATCTTTCTTCTCGTTTTGACTCAACACGCTTTTTATACGCAAGGTGGAAAAGTATTTGACTTTCCATTTTTTGCCTTTGGTGGTGCGATAAATTCAAGAGAGATGTAAAAAAAGGTGAATAATGCAAAAGTGTGGGTAAAATAGTCTTTAGTTGTGAAAAAATGTGAACAGTATTTCCATTTAAGTGAAGGGGAAGAAAGGTAAAATATGTATTTGGCATGTTTGCAGGATGATGAGAGGATCTTGGAGGTATACATTAAATCTTGGGTTTCTGGTTCCCTAGACAGAGCTTCAACTCGCTCATCCGCATCTTTCACAATTGCCCTGCATCACCTATCAACTACCGTTTTCAAGACTTGTACTCATCACACCCTGCCGTTACGAAACAAGCTTGCCAGATCTCTCCTCCGCGACTACTCTCGTAACCAGCAACACGAGGTATTATTTATATGCACAATATTTTCAACAAATAGTCATCGGTGACAGTGTCTTATTGACTTATTGCTGATAATCAGTTTTTAATTTATAAGCTGTTTATAAGTTAAACATTCTTTTGTGGAAGTAAAATGACTTAAATTATAGATAAATCATTTGAAAAGATTCATAAGTGGTGAGGAATAGTTTTGTACATAATCTGGTCAAAACAGAGTTTCAAAAAATTGGTTTATTTTAGGTAAGACCTACTGATTTTTTATGGGTTATCAGGTTATAAGCACAGAAAAACATTTCATCAGCTAACTTATAAGTTAAAAATAGCTTATACGCAGTTTTGACCAGCTTATAAGCAGAGAGAAACATCTACTAAAACGACACTTCAAACTTTGCTTTTTTTCCCTTTGTATGGAGATTTGGTATTAAATGCTGGCGTACTTTGTTTATGTGTGACCCATGACAGGGCATGATGATTAGTTTAGTTCAGTACGAGAAACCCGAGGCGTGCTTGAGACCCGAAACGGATGGTGAATATCTCTCTCGACGTAAATGCGAAACCGAAAACAGATTAGAGAAGTTGAGGGAGGCATGTGAAGGGAACTCGTCAATGTTAAGAGTGGTTGAGAAGTTGGGTTCTGCAATCTCAAAGAAACTCTCTTGGTGAAACAAAGTCAAAAACATCATTTTTGGGATGGCTTGTATAGTTTTTTTCTTCCTAAATACATACTACCAGAAATTAAGCTATGTTTTCTTTAACTCATTCTTATTACTTATTTCTTTTTTCTTATTGGAATCAGTTCAGAAACAGTTGTAAATTAAACCACATTCAAATCAAGTCATACTAGGCCAGATCAGATCAAATCAAAACTTATATCCAATCAAATCAGAATCATTCTGATAAGGTAAAGAGAACATGGTCTTAATCTAAAAAAAACTTACATTTTACATTATCGTCCATTGAATAGATGTTTGTACTCCATACTTCTTTAACCACTCACAAATTTTTTCTCTATCTATATAAATTTCAAACGCTCATTTTTTAAATTTTTTCTTAAATTCTATAGAGTAAGACTCTAAAGTTTGTATTTGAGGAGAAGGAGTATATTAAAACAATTTTTACCCCTCGTTTGAATGATAGAAAGAAAATCAAGAAATAAAATCAGACCTTCTATTTACACAATCAAAGTATGGAGTATATATTTTTTTTCTTTGATTACTCACCCAAGTTCTTTTATGCAAGATTTGAGAGTCATACTACCCGTTTTATTATACAACTTTATTCTACTTTGTCACACTCTATAAATTCTTCATATCGTGCCACAATTGCCACCTGTTGGTTGGCGTTGTACAATTCGCAAGGTAAATGATGGAAAGAAGATAACACCCTTGTTCGATTTCTGATAACTAGGTTGAAAGACAACTATATTAGGTGATACAAAAGTAGAGTAAAAGTTGTTTGGTAAATTTAGTCATGGTAAACATAGGTAAAACAGCTTTTTTGTGCACACAATATGTGGCCGTTGACCCGCGCAATCGAGTTCGTCACTGTCATAATCGTCTTCTTCAACGCACACACGGAGTATTATCGACACAGAGAGAAAGAGATACGCGGCGATGGTGTTTTCCACGGCAATAAGTTCATGCCAGCTGTATTTTCCGGGACGCCGGCCGGTTGCGAAGCGGGCAATCAGGTGCTCTTCGGCGGCGCCGGCGCCGGCGAAGTTCGATCTGAAGAATTACTGGGCCACGCTGATGAGGGAGATCAACCAGAAGCTGGATAAGGCGGTTCCGGTTCAGTACCCGCACCAGATTTACGAGGCCATGCGGTACTCCGTTCTCGCCAAAGGCGCCAAGAGGGCTCCTCCAATCATGTGCGTCTCCGCCTGTGAGCTCTTCGGCGGCGATCGCCTCGCCGCCTTCCCCACCGCCTGCGCTCTCGAAATGGTACCGTCAATCTGAAATCTCAATTCAATCTATACACTGTTCCAGATATTCCTATTAACAGATTGTGTTTGCCTAAAATCTGTTTTATTTGAAATATTGAATTGATTACTTTCCCCATCGTATACACACACACGCGCGCGAATGACGATCTAAAACGCTAAAGCTGATCTCTAACGATATTCTCAAACGGACCCATTGTTTTCTTAAATTTATAGATATCGCAATGATAAACTTTAATCCACTGGAATATATGAGAATTAAGAGAGGAAATAGATGGTAAAGAAGGTAGATGTGAATATTGACCAAGGACGCATCTCTTTGTCTCCTAATTAACCCTAGCACCTGCCTTACCCTTGCTCCATTCTCAAGTGGATTGGACCTCAATTCCGGGTCGAATTCGATGCCCATATCGCGGGAGTTTACGAGTTCCAATCTCCACTTAAATACAAAAAGTAATCGTGGAATGAACTAGGTATATTGGACCTAACTTGTTTATATATTTGGGTCGGACCCAATATGGTGATCACTTCATAATCATCACCTTCATCTCTCTTAAGTTTGTAGGTGACACAAATTTATGCTGTCAGCTCTTGAGGTAGAAGTAGTTAATGCTGAAGAGTGTGTAGCATGAATGGACGACAAAACATTATGAAATTCTGAAAGCGTAAGTGATAAGTTCTTTCCACTTGGATTGATGTCGTTACGACAAATGAAGAAAAGTTTATCGATAAAGCTCGATCATGTTAGCTTACTTTAGCTAACGGCGATGGTTTCTCCTATTATTCTTCTGGACTGTGAAAAAGGACCTTATCTAGTTGCAGATATAGCTAGTTTTTCAATCCTGCTGCTTGACTGCTTGTAGTACAGATAAGAAGGGACAAAAGGCCGGTCCAAAATTTTTGTTGGCCCTATGCAAAAATTAGAATTAGGCCTTTACAGTTTATATTACTCCATTTACCTCTAAGTTTTTAAAAAGATTTTTTTAGCGCAATTATCTTAGTTTGCCGTGATGTTAAAGAAATGTACCTAAACAAGACTAAAACGTGAAGCTTATACCAAAATAAGACCACAATTTGGAATTGTATGTCATCATATCATAGTGTTTTTTGGCATTATTTGGTGCAAAAATATTGAAGGTACTATTTTGGTATATATGGAGCATCTTTTAGTTTCAATTAATTTCTTCATTGATGTTGAACATACAACATTAATCAATCAATCTTTGGAATAAGGCACTATTTTTTGTAATGAAGCAAACAGTCGCAAATTCAAAGAAAATTTGACGATTTAAAGAAAAAAACATACACATTCTTAAAAACAAATTACACAGGCAACACATATTGAAGTGAATTTGGACACTAAGTGAATATTCTGTTTGAACCATGCATCAATAGAATAACTATGGTCGATAGTGAACTCCACCTTCTCTTGAGGTCCCAAATATTTTGGGGCTTTGTATGGTCACCATTCTCGGATAACCTCGGGGCTATACCATAGAGAAAGGACTTTTATATGAAAGCTAGGTTCAAGCTTTTTACTGCAGTGTACAAGGTAACTTAGAATATTGACTTTCCAAGTAGCTGAAATTATTGAGTTTATTATTATTATTACTTTCAGTTTTCATAGAAATGTTTGTGTTTTGTAGTTGACAACTTGTTCTTCTTCTGAGCTGATCATTCCCTTGATTAGGTTCACGCGGCTTCTTTGATACATGATGACTTGCCATGCATGGATGATGATCCGTTGCGCCGAGGACAACCCGCAAACCACACAAAATTTGGCGTGGACATGGCAATCTTGGCCGGGGACGCCTTATTCCCGCTCGGCTTCCGCCACATAGTGTCCCACACGCCCACCGATCTCGTCCCCGAGGATCAACTCCTCAAGGTGATAGCCGAGATTGCCCGGGCCGTGGGGTCCACCGGAATGGCGGCCGGACAGTTCGTCGACCTCGAGGGCGGGCCCCACGCCGTGGGGTTCGTTCAAGAGAAGAAGTTCGGCGAGATGGGAGAGTGCTCGGCCGTGTGCGGGGGCCACCTCGGGGGTGCTTCGGACGAAGAGATCCAAATGCTGAGAAGGTACGGGCGCACAGTCGGCGTGCTCTATCAAGTCATCAATGATATATCGGAAGCAAAGGCGGAGAGCGGTGAGGGCAAAATTGGGAAGGCAAAAAAGAGGAAAGGGAAGAGCTATGTGATGGCGTACGGCGTCGAGAGGGCGACGGAAGTTGCAGAGGACATGAGGGCACAAGCTAAGAGAGAGTTGGATGCTCTTGAGAAGAAATATGGGGAGAAGGTCATCCCATTGCACAGCTTTGTAGATTATGCTGCTTATAGAGGTTTTGATGTTGATGTTGATCAAGTTTAAATTCAATTCTCACAACTCTAAGTTGTATGGAGTAATACCTATTACACATATAGTAGTACCCAATAGTGCAATAACAAGTTTGCTCCAAAGTTCTTTTGTGTTTAAAACTAGGAACATCTTAAAAAGGGCTTATTAGCAAAGACAAGGAGTGTTAAGATCCAAATTCGATATCTGACAACTGTGTTGCGAGATAATTATAATAAACATAAAACTTTTGTAAGTACTAAGTGCAGGTTCTACTCTTTACTATCAATCTAAGATCAAAGGTTAATCTAACTCGTGATTGTCCGGTCGAGTCTGAGGGACCCTCGAGGAAGGAGTTCGTCCTTTTTTAATAAAGAAATCTTAACTTGTTAAGTGAGTGACAATTCTTATATGCACCTCTATGCCTTCTTATGTGATTGATAAAAATTACATATCTCCTTCATTCACCATAAATCTTTCCAAGTTTATTTTTTGTTCATTGTAAAGAGAGTCAAAAAAAAAGTGAAAGTTTACTAAAATATACTCCATCCATCCACAAATAAACTTCTCGTTTAATATTCACAATGTCAAATTTTATTCACTTTGTTGGCCTATTTTTGTCACCCATTTGATAAAATAATATAGTCATGACACCTCTAGTTTTGTAGATCTTTTGATATAGTTTTTAATATGTAATTTTTATTTTTTAATTTTACACTATTTTTCATATAAAATGATTTGAAAATAACTTCAATCAAACATCATAACGGGCAACGAGAACTTTATTTGTGGACGGAGGGAGTATTTAATAAAATGAGGTAGAATATGTTATATTAGGCGGATGAGATGTAATAAATAAAGTAAAAGTGGTTGTAGTACTTTAAATATAAAAAAAAGTAATAAAAATGACATTTGGGTTCCTTAAAAAAGATAGTTTAATTTGGAGTAATATTAAGATAAACATTGATTTTTTTAGTTACTTTAATTTGTTTTATATGAGAATAAACATCAATAAAAAATGGGATACAAAGAGTATCGGTTAAGAGTTATTTTGGTACACTCTGTCTTCTTTTACAGAATACAGAGTATGAGATTTTGCCACAAATAAGAGTCATACTTCGAAACATTTGAAGTTATTTCCAAGTTTTTATAGTATTTAATATAGAAGTTCAGAATAGTTCTTAATTTATAATTTCATGAACATAAACAAAACTTTGAACTTCACTTATGTGTATATGTATTTTTTTTCTTCTCATTGATTTCTATATACATGTTATATTTTATTTAAATATTGATGTGATAGCATAAAAATAGAATTTATATATTTAAAATAAACTAATATTAAATTTGAATGTTCAAAAGTTATATTAAAGCCGTAGCAAGCTGAGAATTTTGCTGCTAGCTTGAGTGATTCATGAGAAGTTCATTTAGTTTCGAACTTCAACATAAACGAAACATCACAATATATACTTTATGATCAATTTTACGGTATTTCTTATACATCTGTGACGAGTAGTCATTTCTTATTTTTTGAAAATGACTATTCAAAAATGAGTATTTATGGAAAATAGCTTTTTGTGGTCATTAAATTCTGAAAATATGACCAACTCTTAAGCGGCAATGTGTTGAACAATTGCTATACACGCAGTGAAGCAGAAGTACCAAGACCAGAATTCGAAATAGGGAGGGAAAAGAGAACAGAGAAGAATGTGTCTGGTTTTGATATGAGCTTTGGCTATGGCGAACCTCTCAACCCTCCTGCACCAACTCCGCGAGCGCATAGTAGCGAGGCCGCCGAACAAGGAAAACGACGACGATTTGGAGGTCCTTTTCCGCGACGTTCTCCCCAATCTCTTCCACACCTATGTCGTCCCTTCGTCTTCCTCCGCAGGTCGAGGATTCAATTCTCCTCCTCCTCCTTCCTCTTCATCCTAATTTCTGCTGCTTTACCTCTGTTTATTTGAAGTATTTGCTGCAGACAAGCAGAGAGAGGTCGTTGCCATACTAAAGCTCTCCGCGCATGTCGCTAAGAACTTCCCCGGTGTGTTTTATCACGGCAAGCCTGCTGCCGTGTTGCCGGTGATTGGTCGAGTACTGCCCTTCTTTTCCGAACCTGCATTTCAGTGAGTACTTCAATTCGAGGCCTCCAGCCTTTTGTTCTCGTTTTTTTGTGTGTTTTGTTTTGGAATTTAGGTAATTCGCGCACTTCAAAGTTCAAACCTAGCTGACCTTATGCTTTGTCATGATATGCTTTATTTTGGAATTATATCTTCAGCATCACCTCTAATTAAAAATTAGGAATTATAGAATTGAGCAATTTCCATATTGTATTTTTTCACAAATTTAAACTATTCTTTAGGGCTCAACATGGGGTGATTTTCGAAACGGTTGCATCACTGTTGTCAGTGCTTCGCACTGCAGATCGAGATGCTTATCGTCAATTTTTCATGGATGTAATGTCATTGGTTGAAGGTACGATCTAAATCACTATGAATGTACTAAATTGGAACTGTGACCAGCACAAGTGGAGCATTATTTTCGGCTATGGTTCGTTGTAGAATTCCTTCTGAGTGCTTGTTGAAAATGAACTCTAAGAAAGTGCTATGTGTTATAATCTACTGTCTTTTCATAGATATTGCGGAAGTCGCTTTAGTCTGTGACGAGCAATGCAGTAAAGGATTGAGAACAATTTCCTTGAAGTGTTTCAGCGAATCGTTTTCGAGAGTTTTGGATGATCCTTTAACCTTCTGTGATCTTCCCCAGAGCTGTACAGCTGATGACAGCCGCTGCATTCTAATTAATCTAACTAGGAAAGAAAGATGTCAACCTTTTGCTTCTTTTGCTGTCAAGGTTCTCTGTAAATGTTTAACTGAAGGAACTTTATACGTTGAAGGACTCTTGAGCACTTCTTGTGTCTTGGCTGTCTGCAAGCTTTTATGTTCTGGATGTGCTGATCTGCACATGGTTGGTATCTTTACTGAATATTACATGTATATTACATTTATATACTCCAGGTGGGAGTATTCCTGCATGACTTCTACCTTATGATTGGCTGCTCTCTTAATCACTGGTCCCCTGGTTAGTCAGCCAGGGCGAGTCAACCAATCAAAAGGTGAAAAATGCCAAGTCTGGCAGAAAATAGTCCTATTGGACTACACATTTCATTTCACTTGACTAGGTAAGGTAAACTTGAGGGGTGGGGGGTAGACGAAAGGACATTAAGGGTGAAAATAAGTTCGCACTCTATCAAACACGTGGCATAGCTCCTTTCTCTTTCTACACATTCACTTCCTGAATTTCTCTCTTTCTTCTCATTCAAATACATACTATCTGCTCTATTTATTTTGCCTCCCTTTTTACTACATCATTTTCTTCTGTATTGATGTCCAACTATTCAAACACAGCTTCGAGGCTGCTTATCTGACCATTGAGGTCTTATGCTAGGTATGCTTTGATTTTGTGCGACTTGTTGGGGCCTTAAATTTGGAAATTATCCCTGCTGAAAGACTAATACAACTGATTGCATTTATATTACGTGAAGGCAAGGGACTTCTAGGCTTCAGGTATTCGAGTAAACATTCTTCTTTCTTTTCTTTGGTTAGTTTCATTTTTCTAGCACTGTCTTCTTTTAATTTACAAAATGATGCCTATTTAGAAGCCTAAGAAAATAATGTTCTAACCTACATCTTGATAATTTTGCATGCAGTTGAATCAGCTTAATAGAAACTTTTACTAGTTCCAACATTTGATAAATGGTTTCATCCTATTGGAAATATATGCTTGTTGCTCTGCTCTCACCTCCTTGATTATTCTCACTCACAACTTTAATGGCCATTCAATTGCAGAAACTCCATGTACGACTCATCCATGGGAGGATGCCTTAACTTGTTACACTCCAATTGCTCAGTAAATGTTGTTAGGTCAACAGCAGTGGCTCTGATAAATGTCTTTCCCCATTCATTGCTTGGAACAAGCAGTCACGAGCTCAAGGTTCATTTAATGTTCTTGCCTTTTACTTCTATTAATGCAATCAGTATTCTTGCACGTGACTTGTTTATCTTATAGCCTTATTACTCCGTAATTCATAGTGTACTTTCTGGCGATCCTTAATGACCATTTTTTTTCAGAATGCTCTCTGCAGTGCATACTCTCGTATTGTTCAATATTGCCCCCCTCATATCTGGAAACCCGAATCTCTCATTAATTTGCTTTACTCATCCACGGCCACCATCCCTTTGATATTGTGTTTTGAGGTTGCTTTATCTAGACTACAATCTAATTCTTCTGGAGGGGAAGTAGCTATTGTTGGTGAAATGTGTTTATCAGCCTCAAATTCCAGTCTATCTGAGAAACCTAGAGTTGGAGATAAAAGACCTCAGAACAGCACAGAGACTTCCAAACCTAAACTTCAAAAAACCAATGGTGAATTCATGGGTTCTGGCGTAACATGTGATCATCTAAACCAGCTTATATATGGTTCTACATCAATGCAAGAGAAAGACTATGCTGACTTCATGCATAGCTCGCTGAAGGCATTTGTGCAACGCTTAGGACCTCCTATAGAAGATGACTCTTTGGCACCGGGAATTGCACTGACAGCTCTTAGTACACTCTGCATTGTCTTCTGTAAATATCCATATAACGGTCTCTTGCTTCAAGTATTACAGTGTATGTGTGCATGGGTTCCTTGGATAGATGAACAGGTCTAATGCATTCATGGTTTTTGTTTAGTTTAGTTGTTTGAAGCTGCTCTCATGTACTAATCTACTCATTAAATCTGCAGGTGAAGCAAGGACTTCCAATACCCTTTGATATGTCAATATTTCTTGAAGCTGTTAACAACCTTTTCATTCTAAAAGGTATCATGATTTGATTACTTGTTGATTTCCTTTGTTGTACAGAGAACAAAATTAACTATACCACTTCTGCTTTGTAAATATTCCATAATACTAATGTAGGATCTACATTTTCTTCGCTCAAAAGTTTGCATGATACTCAGAACACAGTGTTGACAAATCACTAGTGGTCGTTATAAGTCATATGCAGGAATTGTATAATGAGAGATTTCACTACATTTGTCCTGGCCAATAATGTTTTTTTTAATCCAGACATGATGTCATAGTAATTTATGACTTTCAGTTTAGATGCCATTGTGTAAATAGAATTTGATTTAACCAGTAGAGTTCTATTCCAGTGAACAAACATACTAATTTATTTATTCATTTACCTATTTCTGGTTTTAACTTAGGCTCTTCTGAGGATAATAAGTTTCTCAAGAGTATGAGTGGTGTTCCCGGTGTTGTACGGCCATTATTAAGGCTTCCATGGTCCAATTCGGTATCAATTAATTCTCTCCCACCATGGAAGGCAAAGTGCCACTCACTGCAAGTTCTGTCAAAGATTGGACTGTTTTTGCAAAATGGTAATGATCTTGATATTTTGGATTTGGGCCTTCTCGATGAAATAAAGGAGGTTAGAGGAGAAGCTATCATTTCCATGCCAATGATAGTCATGTGGTGTGGTTATGGTTTACTTATGCCTGTGTTCAAGAGATTGGAGTAAGTACATTTAACATTTTGTTTTTCACTGGGTTGCCAAACATAGTACTCCCTACTATAGTATGACCCCGTAGTATGTCTTCAAAAGTAGATATCATCCCAAATGTTACCACTTGCATCAGTGCCCATAAAAAAACATTAATAATTTGTGAGCCAGTGTCCGCTCATAAAAAACATTATAATTATAATTTGTTATTGCTTCAGCGCAGGACCCTAGGGAAAGAGATGGATGCCCAAATTAAGAAAATCATCCCCCAAACACTTGGTTATTTAGCATGCCTTTATGGATCTTATTGTACTGGCCCTGTTCCATGTGAAGGTCAGTGCAAATTATATTTGCAGAAGGATAGTAGAAAACATGATATGACAGTGGATGGTCGTTTGAGATTTTGGTGTTCTAAGTGTGACACAAATGCATCCAGTAATGAACTGCAGTCAATTGTACACCTGGTCAACAACACTCATGATATAGAATTAGAACTTGCCAGAGACTATGATTATAATAAGTTGCTATCCCTTTTCTTCCAATTGCTTTATGACGAATCAACAGAAGATATTCAAGTTGCTTGTGTTGATGCAATTCAGCGAATTCTTCTCCACACAACCAGTAGTGTTCTCATCAGAACAAAATCCGACTGGTTAAAATGTATCGATTACCTACTCCTTCACAGGAGAAAGGCTGTGAGAGAAGCATTCTGCACACAGATCAGTTTTTTCCTTGAGGAACCTATTCTGAATTGCTTATTCTTGGATGAGGCGCCCAATAAGCCTAAAGAACAGAAGTTTGTGGAAAAATTAAAAGATGCTCTGTCGGCAATAGATGATCCCTTGGTGTTTGAGACTCTTCTAGAAACTGCAGCGAATATTATGAATGCAGTTGATATACATAGCCAGTTCTTTTTATTCTCTCTTATTTTATTAGCTGAGCAGCTTGATAATCGTCACATCACAGTGAGGATAAAAGCATCAAGGTTGATAAAAGGATCTTGCTACTCTCATCTTAAAGGAGGATTTGAACTAATCTTATCAAGAGTTCCTTATCTCAGAAATGAATTGTATGATTATCTGTCTTCTAGGCTTGCAAGATGTCCAAAAATTGTGGAAGAGTTTGCAGTGTCCGTGCTTGATGTTGAAACTGAAGAACTTGTGAAAAAGATGGTTCCTGTTGTTCTTCCAAAGCTCATTGTCACCCAACATGATGGTGATGAAGTAATTACAACTTTGTATGCATTAGCCAAGTGTTTAAACACGGATATGGTGCAATTGATTGTTAATTGGCTGCCCAAAGTACTTGCTTATGCTCTACATCGAGCTGATGAACAGGATTTATTTTCTGTTCTACGGTTCTACCATGAGAAAACAGGTTCTGATAATCAAGAGATTTTTGCTGCTGCATTGCCTGCCCTTTTGGATGAACTTGTGTGCTTTACTGATGAAGATGTCAGAGAGATAAACAAAAGGTACAATCATCCATCTTTCTCTGGTTTCATATTTAAGAAATTTAGAAGCACCAACTTCTATGTGCTAGACATTATTTTTCTTTCACATAATTTGTTCTACATGAGTTTTTCCTATTGCTCTTTGAGTTTTTCCTTGAATGTAACACTAACTACTTGCAATAATGAGACCTATATGATTTCTTTAAAATCCTTTCCCAGGTTGACAAGGGTGCCTCAGATGATAAAAGAAGTTGCAAGAATTTTGACTGGAAATGAAGATCTTCCTGGATTTTTGAGAAATCATTTCGTTGGTCTCCTTAACAGCATTGATCGGAAAATGCTTCATTCAGATGACGTATCACTTCAGAGACAATCTGTTAAACGGATTGAGATGCTTGTTGGTCTAATGGGTTCCCATCTTAGCACTTACGTTCCGAAACTTATGGTTCTTCTCATGCATGCTATTGATAAGGAACCACTCCAGGACGATGGTCTTTCTGTTTTCCATTTTTTTGTTAAGCAACTAGCTTTGGTATCACCCTCTAGTACCAAACATGTGATTTCCCAAGTATTCGCTGCACTTGTTCCATTTTTAGAGGGAGAGAAAGAAAAATCATCCTCACATTCTCCTAAAATAGTGGAGATTTTGGAGGAGCTTGTGTCCCAAGATAGAGTAATCCTAAAAGAACATATTCGCGAGTTCCCTCCTTTACCTGATATTCCTGTTCTTTCTAAAGTGACTAGTATAATAAAAGAAGTGCGTGGGCCAATGAGCTTGAAAGATCAATTGCTAGACATTGTTGATGGGCTTAATCATGAAAATTTGAATGTTAGGTATATGGTAGCATCTGAATTAAGTAAGCTGTTGAACATTAGAAGGGAGGATGTCATGGCTGTAATTACTAAAGAAGGGGATCCAAGTATGGATGTCATGAGCTGTTTGATTACATCCTTACTTAGAGGGTGTGCAGAAGAATCAAGAACTATGGTTGGGCAGCGGCTGAAGCTGATTTGTGCTGATTGTCTAGGAGCATTAGGAGCTGTAGATCCTGCCAAAATCAAGGGATTTTCAAACACGCGCTTTAAAATTGCATGTTCAGATGATGATTTGATTTTTGAGTTGATCCACAAACATCTAGCCAGGGCTTTCAGAGCTGCACCTGATACTATTGTTCAAGATTCGGCTGCTTTGGCTATACAAGAACTTCTTAAGATTGCTGGTTGTGAGGCATCTCTTGACGAAAATGTTTCAGCTTCTACATCACAGAGAATGGGCAAGCATCCTAAGTCACTCATTTCTACTCCAAAAAGCTCTGCAAGTTGCAGCGATTTATACGAGAGGGGTCAGAGATTGTGGAATAGGTTCTCTGATTATGTCAAAGAGATCATAGCACCTTGCTTGACCTCAAGATTTCAGCTTCCAAATGTGTCAGATTCTGCATCTTCTGGTCCCATTTACCGCCCTTCTATGTCATTCAGAAGATGGATTTTTATCTGGATAAAAAAATTGACTGTACATGCAATAGGTTCTCGGGCTAGCATTTTCAATGCATGTCGTGGTATTGTTCGTCATGACATGCAAATTGCAATGTATCTTCTTCCATATTTAGTCTTGAATGTTGTATGCCATGGAACTGAGGAGGCCCGACATGGCATAGCTGAAGAAATTCGTTCTGTTCTCTGTGCAGCGGCATTGGAGAATAACAGTTCTGCTTCCCATGGGATTACTTCAGGGCAAAATGAGGTCTGCATTCAGGCTGTTTTTACTCTCCTTGACAATCTTGGGCAATGGGTGTATGATGTAGAACAAGATCTTGCTCTCTCACAATCTGTTCAGACATCCACTTCTAGGCAACAGGCTGATAAACTGAAGGAGCAGAACAATACAGAGCAGATGCTTATGCAGTGTAAGCATGTTTCTGAGCTATTGGCTGCAATCCCTAAAGTGACCCTGGCTAGGGCATCTTTCAGGTGTCATGCTTGTGCCAGGTCTTTGTTATACTTTGAATCTTATGTCCGGGAGAAGTCGGGATCTTTCAATCCTTCATCTGAGAGGAGTGGTGTCTTTGAGGATGAAGATATTTCATTTCTAATGGAAATTTATAGTGGCTTGGATGAACCGGATGGCTTGTCCGGTTTCGCTTCCCTGCGCAAGTCAAAGAGCTTGCAAGATCATTTTTTGATAAATAAGAAAGCAGGAAACTGGGCAGAAGTTCTAACATCATGCGAGCAAGCTCTGCAAATGGAACCCACCTCTGTTCAGAGGCACTCAGATGTTCTGAACTGCCTACTAAACATGTACCATTTGCAGGGCATGGTCACTCATGTAACAGGGCTAGTAGCAAGGGTTCCTGAATACAAGAAAATGTGGTGCATGCAAGGTATTCAGGCTGCATGGAGGCTTGGCAGATGGGATCTGATGGATGAGTATCTCAGTGGGGCTGATAAGGAAGGTTTAGTTTGCAGCAGCTCTGAGAGTAATGCTTCGTTTGACATGGGCGTTGCAAAGATTCTTCAAGCAATGATGATGAATGATCAATTCTCTGTTGACGAGAAAATCGCATTGTCCAAGCAAGCTTTAATTGGTCCTTTGGCTGCTGCAGGCATGGATTCTTATGCGCGGGCATACCCATTTGTTGTCAAGCTTCACATGCTGCGGGAGTTGGAGGAATTTAACATTCTTCTTGGAGGCAAATCTTTCCTAGAAAAATCATTTCAACATGTTTATCCACAATTTCCAAAACTAATGGAAAATTGGGAAAACCGACTAAAACTGACTCAACCATCCATATGGGCAAGAGAGCCACTATTGGCTTTCCGTAGACTTGTTTTTTGTGCCAGCGGCGCCAATGCTTCTGTAGGGAATTGCTGGATACAGTATGCAAAACTTTGCCGCTCTGCTGGTCATTATGAGACTGCAAACAGGGCAATCCTAGAGGCCAGTGTTTTAGGTGCACCTAATGTCAATGTGGAAAAGGCTAAGCTTCTTTGGAGCACTAGGCGAACTGACGGTGCCATTGCAGAGCTCCAACAGACACTTCTTAGTATGCCTGTGGAAGTTGTTAGTTCTGCTGCAATATCATCTATCACTAGCCTTTCCTTGGTTCCGTTGAATCCTCCGCCACTAGTTTCAAATACTCAGGCACTAAATGAGGCTAGGGACGTTGCCAAAACCCTCCTACTATACGTGAGGTGGATACATTATACAGGTCAAAAGAAGAAGGAAGATGTTATAAGTCTTTACTCTAGGGTGAAGGAACTTCAGCCCAAGTGGGAAAACGGATACTTTTATATGGCAAAATATTGTGATGAACTGATTGTTGATGCGAGGAAGAGGCAAGAAGATAAAACAGAGCTCCTTTCCAGGGTGGTCCCATCAAATTTCAACCCAGTTTCTTCTGCCAGCTTGAATGCCGAGAAACCATGGTGGTCTGATCTACCTGAGGTACTGTTATTTTATGCCAAGGGCCTTCACAGGGGCCAGAAAAATCTTTTTCAAGCGCTTCCAAGATTATTGACTCTTTGGTTCGACTTTGGGAGCATCTACCATCGAAGTAACACAAGCTCTACCAGAGACATGAAAACTGTACATGGAAAGGTGTTTGCTTAGCATAAAATGTTTCTTTTTTTTAAGTACTTGTTGAACTTTTAAATTTGTGTTTTCTTTTGTTCTTGTGTTATTATTATACCATCTCACAATATGCAGGTTATGAATGTCATGCGTGGCTGCTTAAAGGATTTGCCAACCTATCAATGGTTGACTGTTTTGCCACAGCTTGTTTCTAGAATTTGTCATCAGAATGAAGACACTGTTCGCTTGGTGAAGCATATAATAACTTATGTTCTTCATGAGTATCCTCAACAAGCTCTTTGGATCATGGCAGCAGTTACTAAATCGACAGTCCCTTCAAGGAGGGATGCTGCTGCAGAGATTATTCAAGCTGCTAGAAAAAGATCCAACGACAAGGGTGTAAACTCTTTGTTTACACAATTTGCTACTCTAATTGACCATCTAATCAGGTTGTGTTTCCATGCTGGTCAACCAAGGGCAAAAACAATCAACATCTCAACTGAATTTAGTGCTCTGAAGAGGATGATGCCATTGGATATCATTTTGCCAACCCAACAATCACTTACTGCCAACCTACCATCATATCATTTAAATCCATCTGATAGTGTTGCTGCGGATACATTCTCTTTGACAGATCTTCCTACTATATCTGGGATTGGTGATGAGGCTGAGATACTCTCGTCACTCCAATGCCCAAAGAAAGTATGTCCTTTTTACTCATTTAATTTATATAGGATCTTCCCGATGTTTTGACTGTCCACTAGGACCACTACTCTCATTAAAACTGATTTTCTTGAGAAAACTCTTTTGTCTTTCTTTCTCCTTTTATCTCTACTCATCAGAGTTTAGGATACTCATTGGTTGAAAATTTTTAAAGGAGTAAGAAATGCTATGAATTACATATTCCTCCCCTAATGAGAAAATGAGAGAAGCCTAAAGTTTATTTTTGGATGGACAAAAAAAGTGTAAACTTCATTGCGGGACAAGAGCATCAAAGTTTCCTAAGATATTATAATAAAGCATGAGTAAAACATTCATAACTCATAACACTGCCAAAATTATGGGTCCTCAACTCCTCATAACATTGAATATTGCATAATATGGAAATCTTTAGACCTATGACTGCATGGATTGATGCTCCTGAAGGATGCATGTCTTGATTGATAACAGTCTTCTAGGTGATCAGTACTCCGTATAAGTTTTGGCTGTGATGAATTACTGTTTGGGATTTGCAGATCATTCTTTTGGGCAGTGATGGAAGTGAACGTCCATTCCTTTGCAAACCAAAGGATGACTTGAGAAAAGATGCGCGCATGATGGAATTCAATGCAATGGTTAATTGTTTGCTGTCTAAAAGCCCCGAGAGTCGGAGGAGGAAGCTTTACATTCGTACATTTGCAGTGATTCCATTAACAGAAGATTGTGGTATGATTGAATGGGTGCCACATACACGTGGTCTTCGACAGATTCTCCAAGACATATATTCAAGCTGTGGTAAATTTGACAGACAGAAAACGAATCCTCAAATAAAGCGCATTTATGAACAATGTCAAGGAAAGATGCCTGAAGAGGAAATGCTGAAGAATAGAGTCCTTCCAATGTTCCCTCCAGCTTTCCACAAATGGTTCCTAAACACATTCTCTGAACCAGCTGCTTGGTTTAGGGCTCGGGTGGCCTTTGCACATACTACTGCTGTTTGGTCAATGGTTGGGCACATAGTGGGGCTTGGAGACCGCCACGGCGAAAATATTCTGTTTGATTCTACCACAGGTGACTGTGTTCATGTGGATTTCAGTTGCTTGTTTGATAAAGGCCTGCTTTTGGAGAAACCCGAGCTCGTTCCTTTCAGGCTTACACAGGTAAGGCCCCACTGGCATTTCATCTATATGTTTACACAGGTGACTGTGTTCATGTGGATTCTCCCTTATTTCATCTATATGTTTATTGGCATTTGCTTTATTGATTCCTTCATTCTTTCAAAGCTTAATTGGTTGAATTTTTATTTAATGCTTGACTCAGAAATTTTAACTTATTAAACAACCCCTCTGTTCTAAAATGTTCTTCATGTTTTGACACAAGCTTACTTAGAAAATGAAATTGTGTGGTTGTTATTCATTTCAAAATGAGACAAGCAATATTAAATACACAAATGTTTTCTCGAATGAAAGCCTGAATAAAAGATTATGATCACCCAAAAAATTATGATCCACCCCAAAAAGGTGAGATGTATTTACTTGCTAATTTCTTTATTTCCAGAACATGGTTGATGGGCTGGGAATAACGGGATACGAAGGTATCTTCTTGAAAGTTTGTGAGATCACACTCTCAGTCTTAAGAACTCATAGGGAGACACTGATGAGCGTACTGGAGACTTTTGTCCATGATCCTCTCGTGGAATGGACTAAATCTCACAAATCCAGCGGGGTTGAGGTTCAAAACCCTCATGCTCAGGTTTGCAAGTTATTTCTGCTTCACTTTTACATTATAAGTATTATATTAGATGCATGTATTATTAAGTGCCGAATGCATACTTCCAAAGTTAGTCTTGTTTATAAACTTCTATCTGTTCCATAAAAAGAGTCTAATTTGAGCAAAAGAAGCTACTTATCTGTCCTAAAATAATCTTCTCAGTTTCCTTTGTTTTTGTCAAAATACACTTTTCATTCCTTTGTAAGTAAATATTGAGTGGTTTGCTTTTATTTCTCCTCTATATAAATCTCAACAATACAATTTCACTTTTACTTAAATTTTTTGAAAAAAGAAATGAGAATCTTAATTTGGAACGAAGAGAGTAAGTGAAATATATAAATGTTGTAAGATATGTTCTATGAAAACTTGCTGTAAGAAATAACCCCACCATATATCTCTATAAGGTTTATTAAGTAGAAACTATTGATGGCATAGTTACTTTCGACAATAAAATGCAGAGGGCAATAAGCAACATTGAAGCACGTTTACAAGGAGTGGTTGTTGGTGTGGGAGCGGCGCCTTCTTTGCCCCTAGCAGTAGAAGGACAGGCTCGCCGCTTGATTGCCGAAGCTGTCTCACACAAAAACCTTGGGAAAATGTACATATGGTGGATGCCTTGGTTTTGAAGGCCTCCTTCTCTAATGTGTTGTTTCACTCCGGCTGTCACTGGAGCTCGAGCCCTTCCCAGCTCAATTGATCCCACAGCTGCCATCACATTGGAGGTATGACTTTAAATCCCACATGAGCCAAACTTTTCTTGAATCTGTTTAATTATCTAAATATAAATTGTTCAAAATGATGACTTGAATGTCACCTTTACTCCTTTTCTTATCAAAGCTCGGATGATCCAAAGAATAGGGGTTAACAAACAGGCTCTTATTCTTGCTCTCGTTTTCCCCCCTTATTTTCAGGCACCCATTCCCAAATCCAACTTTTGGTTGTTGAAGACAGGATCAAAACTACACTGTTGAGAAGTTGGCTTTTTTTTTTTGCAATCCAATTTGTCTGTTGTATTCTATCCACACAAAAAAATGTCTATAGCAGAGATGATGTCAATAAGACCTTTTTTTTTGGAAGAATTGGATGCTATTTCACTGACTCTTTGAGAAAACACTCATCATCAAATCTCTCACCCTTATGCGATAACATCCAGTCTTTAAGAACCTTCCCCTTAGCAACAAAGCATCCGATTGTATCGCTGTCGTTCCTAAGTGGTAAATCCAACTGTACTACCATTTTCTGCACCAGCTCTTGCAAAGGGGATTTAAATCGTACGACACTGTGCGACCCCTTCCCACACACAACCTTAACCTCACTCGGCAGCTTATAACTGTGTCTTTTACATATCCACCTAAGCTCACAAAGCCACAGTAACATGAACAAGTATGCAGTGGTCAGATGCATCCCATGCAAATCCAAGTTTGCCCAGATGCGTGTCTGCCTGATAAGAGATGACGACTCAACAAGACAGAGAACCAGCGAGCATTCGTCCCCCCCAAGGTAATCCAGCAACTCCTTAAGTGAAAGTGGCAAGTCCTCGTCCTTCTCCATCGCGTCCTGAAGCAACGCCCGTAGTTTAGGGCAGTTGTTGAGGACAGTGTTGAAAGTCCGCATGTGGGGTTTCACATTCGCATCCTTCATCTTTCGAAGCCATGTCTCCATTTCCCCCAACTGGCCGTGTGCCCCAAAGGACGAAAGCACCATGGTAGTAACAAGTCTATCGACCGCAAATCCATCTCTCCTCATATCAGCCAAAGCCCTCTTCATCTCCTTGAATAGACCTAGTTTCCCATACCCATACACTAAACACGTGTGTTCAAACGCGGATACCTTAAGCCCTAACTCTCGCATTTCCTCCATCAGCTTTTCGATTATATAAGGCATTCCCAAGAGATGCATGGCTTTGATCATGGACTGATATCCGAACAGCAATGCCCAAGCCGCTGGGCGGTTTCCAACCAGGAGGTGCCGCCTCAGCTCTTCGCAAGTATGGAGAACTTCTCGCCTTAATTCGTGCTTTGATAGCTCTTCTACCAGTTGCCCGTAGAAGATAGACAGGGCGCTCTTCCCTCTCACATTTAATATGGAGATGGTTTCCTTTGTTAGGTATTCGGCCTCACTGTGCTGTTCTTGCTTGTGCAGCAGGGCGATGACTTTCGTCACTACCCTCGGACTCCATTGGAACCACGAGGTTTCCGTGAGCACTTGGTATAACTGCAAATCACAAATATTTTTCAATGGGTAAGTCTATCTTAACATCAGAATTTGACATCATGTGTTTTACAGGGTGATTATATATAGAATTGTTAAATAGATGAGAGTGTGAGAGAGAGGGAGACTAACTGGGAGGGCGAGGGAGGAGAGGCGAGGGTTGGAGGAGGAGGTGGCGGGGGAGGTGAGGCGGAAGAGAGTGCCGACGGCATAGTCTTGGGAAGTGGACTCGACGAATTGGCGGAGCATACGGCGGAGGTTGTCGTCGTCAGGGGAGGCGAGAAGGACGGAGTTCAGGAAACGGTCGTCCTCGTTGCCGGGACCACACCGGCACGGCCTCAGGAGGCGGTGGGAGATGCCAAACGGAAACTTCAATCCCGTCGCCGATGGCGGCCTCGTAATTCCGACGCCGATGATCATCTTATATCATCTGCTGGCTCAACAATGGGCGGTTTGTATGCTGCGGAAGAGAGTAAAAGGACACCTTATCCGGGTGGTCCACACCCATCCGTGGATTCCGTGGTGTGACATTCCAGGGTGACTGTTTAATCGACTACTCTCTAAATTTAATTAGGCACTCATATTCCGAGAGTACTATTCTAACTTTACGAGAATTTATATTTATTTGTGTTTTTTCATGGCCTATATGATAAAATAAAATATTCTTGTCACCACTTGTTTTATTGAACTTTTGATTTAATTTTTAAATATGTATGTTTTATTTTTTATTTCTATACCAATATTTAAATAAAATAAATTGAAAAAACTTGGTATTTTTCTTCGTTTTGCGAACCAGAAAGATCATTGCAGGACGGAGGATGTATTTCGAATCCTCCAATTATAAAATTTAAAATTGATTGTTTTATTTTTCAAACCCATTCCCTAAATCCTTCACCCCAACTCACCTCCTACTGCCCACCCCAGCCCACTCTCGTGCCAAATTAGGAGTCACTCACCAGTACATCAGTGCTGGTTGCACTCATCATTTCACTCTATAATGATTATACTTTTATACTCCCTCCATCCCTAAATAAACTTCCATTTTTGACTTTTTGAAGATTTAAAGGAGGGATATTTTGATGTTGACTTTCCAAAAATACCCTTGATGTGATGTGTAAAAGTAAGATGTGATATGTAGATTATTAATAAAAAGGTATAATGTGATAGGTAGGGTATGAAAAAGTAAGAGGTAAAAAGGGTTTTTTAAGGGAAATGAGAAGTTTATTTAGGGACAAAGAAAAAACGAAAGAGGAAGTTTATTTAGGGACGGAGGGAGTATTTAATATTTATCTATTTTTGCTCAGGTTAAAAAAATTTTATAAAAGAATAAAAATTAGTCTTTTTTCCATTTTCTATTTTTTGGGTGTAATATGTTAATTTTTTAGCATTTCAATTTTTTTTATTCATATAGCATTTGTTCAACTAAAATACTCGAGAAAAAAAGGAAAAAGAACTCATAAGTGATAAATACTCCTTTTTTTGTAAGAAATGTGACATTATATTTAAAAGAAATCTTTCCTAGTGTCATTTTTTGCATTATGAGTTTATGACTTTGTTTGACTATATGACATTTTGATATTGTGTTGGCCGTTATTGCTTTCTGGCAGTTCCTAGGGAAGCGTAATTGACGGACAAATCAAGGATTGCACTCACTAGGTTGGGGTCATAGTTTTTAGAAATTGTAATTTATTTTTAGTTTTTTAATTTGTAAACAAATGTAATTCTATTTAAAAAATATTAACGAGGGGCATAAAAGTCCTGACATCAATTTTAAAGTCATATTTTTGTATAAAAAATTAAAGGCCTATTTTTGCTACATGGAGCCCTCATGACTCATGAGCGACGTGATACGTTAAAGCCAAACAAGACACATAAAAAGCGTGAAAGCCACATAAAAAAGAGTTTTACAATTATAAATAGCCAAAGTAAAACGAAAAAAAAAAATCAAAGTAAAGTACTCCATTTTCGTCCACTTTTATTTAGGCTTGTAAACCGAGGCATATAGAATAAAAGAAAAGTCTAAGTTTCTCTTAAAAGGATGAGCCACATACCCAAAAATCTAACTAGGCAATCATTGATTAAAGTTAAAGTAGATTTTGATCATAGACAAATTATATTTTATTTGATCTGATTTTAATAATAATAAGTACCATGTAATAAGAAGAATAATCTCATAGTCATAATGTAATGCTTTCTGGTTGTCTCCAAGGAATTGAGGGCATGATTTGGACAAAATAGGTCTTTGTGTTATAATGTAGTAAAGTGTATTAATTAATTTTTTTGAACAATAATTAGCATTATAATACTCTCGAATTGGATTACAATTTTTTATTTACGAGACAAAATCTTCATTTTTAAAATCAATGTATTTAAAAATTAATATAAGAATAATTAATTAAATTTGTATAAACCATCTTCAAAGTTCATATTATTTCTCCAAAGTTCCAAAGATTGGTGTGTCTTCAATCTAATACACCAAAACCTGGCAAAACAAAACCGGAACCGATTATCTGAACCGAAATATCCAAAACCGAAACCGGAATGACCTAAAAAATGAAGATCCGATTTATAACCGAAAACCCGAAATGATCCAAATCGAACCGAAACCGAACTAAATAATTCGCATCCGATTTAAATCCAAAATCGATAGTATTCGAACCGATTAAACCCGAAACCGATTAGATCCGAACCCGACAATACCCGAAACCGATTAGATCTGAAACCGATAATATCCGAACCCGATTAGAACTAAAATCGATAAATTCAGAACTATGTTTGCCTTTCAATAAACATATTATATTTTTAAATTTTTTACTTTTATTTTACCATTTGAACTAATTACATTACTTGCTCATTCCCTCATAAAATAGATTATCTTCTTAAAAAAAGTACAAAATTTCATGCCTTAAATTTATTATATGTAGAAAGTAAAGATAAGTTATACATATAAATGATAACACACAAAGGAATAAAATTTTCGTAATTTTTAAATAGTGAAGTGTGATATTCTTTTTGGAACGAAAGGAATATATGATGAATTGTATGGGATAACTAGATTTTATCCTAATTTCATCTCATTACAATAAATTTTATTGATTTGAGAGTTAATTTGATTAGTTTCAAACCAATTACTCAATATTAGTCAATAAAATTAAATGCTAGTGTTAGCATTTTGAAAAGACTCTCTAGCGGCAGCCTTTACTGTTATCATTTTCAAATTTGATCTACACCATTACATTTAGGTGTAAAATTAATTATATTTGACTCTATTAAATTTAATTTTCTCTATTTTCAACCAAATATACTCAACAATTTATAAATTTTGTACTCAATTGAATAAAATTTTGCACTCAATTGAATAAAATTCACTTAATTTCACCCAATTTCACTCAATTTTTACCAAATTGTATTCAAATGGAACATAAGACAATTTGAATTTATCTTTTATCATTTCATTTATATACATAAGTATATTAGTAGATGTGAGAAAGATTTGATTTTTCAAAACTAAATTTTAAAATCAATTTAATTATATTAAATTTATATCATAATTAAATATATATGTTTTCATAATTTGTAATCCAAATTTGTAAAATATGACTAAAAAGTCAAAAAGGGAAGATTATTTAGGGTAGAGATAATATAACTAGAAAAAATATAAAATAATATGAGGTATTAAATTGATGATAGATTGATAAATGTGATAAAACACGGATAGTTAAATTTTAATTAGAAAAAAAAATATATCCAATATATATTTGATCCGACACCGAAATATATCCGAACCGAACTAGACCCGAAACCGAAATATATCCGACTCAAATTGTATATGAACTGAAATCTATATGAACCGATTTATAACCGAACCGTATCTGAACTGACTCAAAAAAATGTATAGAACCGAAATCAAATCTGAACCGAAATTTAACCGAACCAAACCGATTATAACATATAACCGAAAGATATTCGAACTGAAAAAATCCAACCCGAAACTGATCCGGTTGATCCGATTGCCACCTCTAAATACACCAAACTCAAATTTAAAATCTACTCCGTATTATATACTCTGTATATAAAAACACAATCAAAATTGAACTCAAAATCTAACGGTGCAATTTCAATTTCACATGCCATCCGACGGTCGAATTTCAAGGTGGCAATTTTGAAATAAAAGCCCAATTGATGGGCACTCTCTATTCCATTTAGAAACCGCTATTTTTTGCATCGTCTCCATCTCCATTAACGAATTTCGGCTTCGCGAGATGGTAAATCCGATGAAAATCTTTTGAGGAGGATACGCCGCTGACTCAACCGCCTACGGCGACAAATCTGGAGATGACAGCGACCGGCAACTGGTAGATCGTAGGAGGAGGAGAGAAGCCGCCAACGCAGATGAGTTCATCCACTCAAATGTCCTTCCGTATCTGTATGTACGACTTCCGTATGCCCTTCTTCTTCTACTCATTCTTGTGCTCACTACTACTCCTTAATTTACTGCTTCTTTGATATCACTCACTCACATCTTGTTCCTTACCTGCATTCATCTCTTCCGAGTTAATTTCATCCATTAATTGTTTGGTTTCACGAAGTTCAAGAAAAGAAATTGAAGAATTAAGAAAAAAAATGTGTTTGAAGTTTGTTTGAAGAGATGCTATTTTGTGCAATGACCAATTCAAATCAAGATGCCAAATGCTCTGGAGTATTATAAGGTTGTATTCACCCAAATGCAGATTATACTCTGGAGTATTTGGTTCATTTGTTTGTGACTCTTTCTATGAGATTATAAGACATTTAAGATCCATTCACTTATCAGCAGCATAAAATGATGGTCCATCAAAGTCTTTTTTTTTTGAGAAACATTTCTTTCAAAAGTCATTCCATTCGGTGGAATTTCTTTCCTCTGATTTTGTCTTTGGGAATTGACTTTGTTTTTCTATTTATTCTGCTCATTTTTTTCCCATGTGGGTAGAATAATCCACTGCATTCATAGATACTTGGTACGACTCTTTAATTAGGTTTATGTTTTTGTTCTCTGTTTTTTTCATGTTTCTTTTTCTCCTTCTAAATCACTCTTGTAAATTGTGTTGGTTTTTGTTTGTGAGTGCAACGAGTTTATAAGGAAAGCAAAACTGGTATGGCTCTGGTGTTGGTTTTGCAGATCATCAGTGATCCCATTTTTATGCTGCAAACTCCAGTAATCACTCTTCTAACATCTTAGTACCGAACTAAATATGAATTAATGTAAATCCTTTTATCTCATTTTAAAACCCTTATAGGTTGTTCATGTAGGGGGGTGATAATATAATTTGATGTTTTTATGCCAGACTTAACTGCACACAAAAAAAAGATAAAACATCTCACTTTGGATAATAGTCTTGAAACCAAAGTTAACCTTAGCCAAACAAAAGATTTTACCTCATGAAAACAGCCAATAATTCATACAATTTGCTCCAGAATTGTCACTCCCTATCACTTGGAGGTTGCAGTAGCTACTACTTAAAAGAACCTATACATAAAGAAAAAAAATCAAATTTGTAGAAGTCAAGAGTTGTCTCAATTTAGACTTGGTTATAAACATGTCACTCATTAATAATATTGCTTGAAACTAAAATTAACCTTAGACAAACACATATTTTACCTGATGAACACAGCCAATAATTCATACAATTTTGCTCCGGATCTGTCATTCCCTGTGACTTAGAGGTTGCAATAGCTAAACTCAAAGAACCTACACATAAAGAAAAAAACCAGTCTGATTTTAATAATAATAAGTGCCCTGTAATAAGAAGAAATTGAAGAAAAATAATCTCAGAGTCATAATGCAATGCTTTCTGGCCAAGGAATTGAGAGCATGATTTGGATAAAATAGGTCTTTGTGTTATAATGTAGTAAAGTGTATTAATTAATTTTTAAAAGAATAATTAGCATTATAATACTCTCGAATTGGATTGCAATTTTTTATTTACGAGACAAAATCTTCATTTTTAAAATCAATTTATTTAAAAATTAATATAAGAATAATTAATTAAATTTACATGTTAAAAAGTTACATGAAAGATAAGAAGACCATCTTCAAAGTTCATATTATCTCCCCAAAGTTCCAATGTAAGACCATCTCCAATCTAATACATCAAACTCAAACTCAAAATACATTACAAACTAAAAATTCAGTAATTCATCTTCAATCTATCACTCCAAATTTAAACTCAAATTTATTACGGAGTATATTCATGTTTTCCCCTTCTTTTTATGGTTTTAAACTTTACTAAATTCATCAAACGATAAAGTACATTTAAATAAATACATAAACTAAACAAAATAATTTATGATATAGCAATAACAAAAGAACAAAATGGAGTACTCCATTTTTGTTATGGAGAAATTTATTTTGAAAGTAATTTTTGTATTATGAAGTACTGTATTTTGTTTCGTTTATGTATTGAATAAATACATAAACTAAACAAAATAATTTATGCTATAGCAATTTCAATTTGCAGCACCATTGGAGATGCCCTAATCACTCAACTCATTCTTAAACCTAGATTGTCAAAATCAGATCTTTGTCCATTCAATCACTCGTAAATCGTAATGGCTATGATGAACGCAATAATATGAAGACTCCATGAACGATGATCAAGCTCCCACCAAGCTCACTTCATTCCGGCTGCACCAAGGCCTTCAATGCAAACATCAACCGCCTGTCACGCGGAGGCGCCCACCGCCAAGTGTTACTTAATTATGTCTCCATGCTGAAAGATTCCGTCCCCCCCGACACTTTCACCTACCCCAGCCTCCTCAAAGCATGCATTTCCCTGAACCTCTTCCGCCTCGGTCTCTCTGTCCACCAACACGTTCTCGTCAATGGGTTTGATTCTGATCCTTACATCGCATCTTCTTTGATCAGCTTCTATTCCAAATTTGGGTTCACAGAGAAAGCGCACAACCTGTTTGATAAAATGCCCGAGAAGAGTATTGTCCCGTGGACAGCCATTATCGGGTGTTATTCTCGCAATGGTGATGCTTGCAATGCGCTCCTGTTGTATAATTCTATGCAGCGGGATGGGATAAAGCCGAGTGCCGTTACTGTTTTGACATTGCTCTCGGGGGTGACAGAGATCAGCTACCATGTGAGATGCTTTCATTCCAGCATTGTAAAATATGGTTTCACATCGAACGTTGTCTTGATGAACTGTGTGTTAAGCCTGTATAGTAAGAGCGAAAACGTTGATTGCACAAGGGACTTGTTTGAGTCCATGCATGAAAAGGATGTTGTTTCTTGGAATTCTTTGATTTCAGGTTACGTGGTGAAGGGGAACACAAACGAAATCTTGAGGCTCATGCGTAGAATGAGGTTTGAGGGTGTGAATCCTGATTCTCATACCTATGGGTCATTGATTTCTGCTGTTTCAAAAGAGGGAAGTTTTGAAATTGGAAGATTGGTTCATGGCCAGATCATATCCCAGGGATTTGAATTAGACGTACAGCTTGAAACATCAATTATAGTCATGTATCTTAAGTGTGGAAACTTGGAAGACGCATTTAGTGTTTTTGAGAGAGCAAACAATAGAGATGCAGTTTTGTGGACATCAGTTATCTCAGGCCTTGTTCAAAATGAACATCCAAACAAGGCATTGGAAGTTTTCCGTTGGATGCTGGATTCAAGAACTGCGCCATCTACTAATACTTTAGCCAGCGCACTTTCGGCTTGTTCGCAGTTGGGTTTACTGAAAGTGGGAACCTCAATACATGCTTACGTACTGAGGCAAAGAATAGCAATGGACTCTCCTGCCCAAAACTCTCTCGTCACTATGTATGCTAAGTGCGGCTATTTAAAGCAAAGTCTTGCTATTTTCCACATGATAGAGAAAAAAGATGTGGTGTCATGGAATGCCATTGTTGCTGGGCATGCACAGAATGGTGATTTATCAATGGCTTTCCACATGTTCAATAAAATGAGAACAACCCATCAAAAGCCCGACTCGATAACCATTGTTTCCCTTCTTCAAGCCTGTGCCTCCACGGGAGGGTTTCAGCAAGGAAAGTGGGTCCACAGTTTTGTTCTGCGGACCTATCTTGGGCCTTGCATCATGATAGACACTGCTTTGGTTGATATGTACTGTAAGTGTGGTGATGTAACCACCGCCAGGAAGTATTTTGACAGGATGGTGGAACACGATTTGGTTTCATGGAGCACAATCATAGCTGGTCATGGCAGTCATGGAGAAGGAAAGATAGCTCTGGAGTTGTACTCGAGACTCTTGAGAAGTGGGATGACACCAAACAGGGTTATCTTCTTGGCTGTTTTATATGCATGCAGTCACAGTGGACTTGTTGAGCAAGGGATGAGCTTGTTCGACTCCATGATAAATGATTTCAAGATTGAGCCAGAAGTTGAACACTGTGCTTGTATTGTTGATCTTCTTTGTCGATCTGGTAGGGTGAAAGACGCATATGGTTTTTACAAGACATGGTTCCACGAGCCGATGGTTGATGTTTTGGGTATACTACTTGATTCTTGTAGAGCAAAGGATCTAGTGGATCTGAGGGATGCTATTGCCAGTGAGATTTCTGCCCTGCAACCTGATGATGCAGGGAAATATGTGCAGCTGGCTCATAGCTATGCTTCGAATACGCAGTGGGAGGGTGTTGGCAAGGTGTGGTTCCAAATGAAATCTCTTGGCCTGAAAAAGCTTCCAGGTTGGAGTTCTATCGACTTGCAGGGGAATATTACGGCATTTTTCATGGGTCACAGTTCTCATCCTCAACATGACGACATTATGTCTCTTTTAAACATTTTAAGTAGGGAGAGTGGAGATGCAGTGTTCATGGCTGACCTTGAATTCTGTGAGACTGATACTCCCTGCTAATGAAAGGTTCTTCTTTAAGAATCTATCTCTGTTGATACAAAGATAGGAGGAAAATTGGAACAATGTTCCCGCCCGTCCGTATCGTTCTTTGTTCCTCTATCTCTCACTCTTCGTTCACTCTGTTCAGCGCACGCCCCCTCCCGCTATTCCGCATCCGAAGTACGCCTCTCTCTTTGTTCATTGCAATAGATTGGAAGCTGATTCATAGTGGCAAACGAATGACTACGCTGTTTTTATTTCCTCCACTTCCGATCCAAGCAGCTACTTCGCCTTCAGCGCCAGAGGACGATGACGCACGCAGACGAACTAACAAGGGGTCGGAACAATGTTCAGTGATGCAAGCAGCTACTTCTTCACCACCACCTTCGCCTCATCAACAATCCTCTCTGAAATTTGTGTATTAAATGTAAGTTCCCAGCCCTTTAGATGCAACTTTTTTGTTATGGAGATAAAAATGTTATTTACTTGGATTAGTCAATGATGCAGGCGAATTCGGCCATTGAGGAGAGACAGGTTTAGGCTCGGCTTCTGGTCAATGATGCATGCAGCAGTGACCTGGTCTTCAGGACGGCCCACAACATTGAAGTGGATCACTAGATGTTGGTCTAAATTGGAGAAGGTATTATAGTTGTTGTCCACTTGCTTAGTTCAGTATCATTTGCATCTTGAAATATGGGAAATATGCTGAATTAATAAAGGGGACGGTTCCCATGATATTGCCTGACAATGTCATGGCCCAGGGGGGTTTACCCGGGGGGTTAAGAGGGGCAGGAACTGTCAATTTTACGAACGGGGTATCGGAGCGCCCCAGGTACATGGGGTTCCAATGTCATGGGAACCCCACCACCGATTAATAAAATTAGAATTAGGCCAAATAGCGCCGGTACCCCTCGTGGTTTGCAAAACATGCACCAATACCCCCTCTATTTTCAAAACTTATTTCTAAAGTCCATGTGGTTTCAAAATGTTGCACCCGTGCCCCCTCTGATCATTTTCCGGCAAAGAAGGGGGGCATTGGTGCATATTTTCTAAACCATAGGGGGTATCAGTGCTGATTTTTATATCTCGTTTATTTTTTGTTTTTTCCTTTTTTCTTTTTTTGTTTAATTTATTACTTAGGGTTTTTAAATTTTTTAAATAATATTCTTAATATTTAAAGTTATTTTTGTTTGAAAAAATAAAATATAATGCATATGTACGTCTGAAATTAACAATTTTTTTCTGAAAAAAAGAATTTTTTTTGAGAACTTTGAAAAAATGAGGAATAAAATAAGAAAAAAATAATACAAAAATTAAAATGAATATCTTTTTTGGACATCTCAATTCTAAGGACTTTTTTAAGCGTGTCCAATTTTTTTTGCGTATTTTAATTTTTTTCATTTCGTTTTTCCGTATTTTTATTTTTTTTACTCTGGGTTTTTTCGAACTTTCCAAAAAATATTCTAAAAAAAGTGAAAAGTTTTAATTTGAGATAGATGTAATGTACTCCCTCCGTCCCAAAAAGAATTTCTTACTTTGATTAACGTGCAAAATCCCGTGGATTTTAAAATGATTTTATTTGCAAATTGGTAAGGAAATAAGACATAAAAAAATTATATTTAAAAACTACATCGGGAACTCTACAAGATAAGAGGTGACAAGAATATTTTATTTTGTTAAATGATCAATGAAAACACGCAAACAAATTAGAGTTATCGAGAGGCCGTAATAGTAAACAGGAAAGACTTTTTGGGACGGAAGGAGTATGTTAATTTTTTATTTTTATTTCAAACAAAAAGAATTTTAAAATTTTTAAAACATTATAAAAATTGAAAATATATTTTAAAAACAAATTTAGGAAAAGGAAAAAGAGATACAAAATATTTTAAAAAAAGGGAAAACACAAATAATAAACTAAAATAAGAAATGAGCATGAATGCCCCCTATGGTTTAGAAATTATGCGCTAATGCCCCCTCTTCGCCGGAAAATGATTAGAGGGGGTGTGGGTGCAACATTTTGAAACCACGGGGACTTTAGAAATAAGTTTTGAAAACAGATGGGGTTTTGGTGCCAATTTTCCAAACCACAGGGGCACCGGAGCTATTTGGCCATTAGAATTACGTTGAACAGTGATGTTGCTAAAGGTTTTCAAGCAGAGGAATGCAATTTGAATTTGCTAAATTAGATCCATCTGTTAAAGAACAGTGGCCTTTTTTCAAGTTTTGGTGAAAGTTTTTCTTTCTTATTTTGAACACTTATTTTTATTTAAAATGAAGAAGTTGTACGTGTGCCTTTGTAGTTTCCTCCCTCAAGACTTTTATTGTGTGACTACTTAGGTTGTCGCAGTTATGAAGTCATCCAAATGAAATGGACTTGGTTTTCTTAGCTCCAAATTTACAGGAAAACATTGTTGCTAGTATTCATCCAAAAGTTCTTACTGGGATATTTTGTTTCCCTTTTTATTCATTGGCACTATCTAATAATAGTAGTGTAGTATTTTTTTTCTATTTAGATATGGATTTTCTTTTCCCCCCTTAAGTTTATTTATTTAAAGTTATTACTAAGTTGTTAGCTTTAGGGAAGCAGATAATGGAACTTGAGTGTTTTTTTAGTGACAAAAGAACATGGCTTACAAACAAACACTTCATAGAATCCCAGTCTTGATCTTTACCACTGTGTTTGGTTCAAGGAATTTTGAAGGAAAAAGAAAAGAAAATGGTTTTCTCTCCTTGATCTCACCAAAATGGGAGGACTTTGATTTCCTTTCCCTTAATATATTTTGCCTTGTTATTTTCTTTTTCTTCCACTTTTCCTCTCTAACCAAACATGAAAAATTATTTTTCCTCTTATTTTCTTTTCTTTTTCCTTTCAAATTCCTTGAACCAAACATAGTGTACAGGTTTCCATCAATCTTTTTATCATATGCTTTATCATTGCTAACTACTTGCCTATCTTGCTCATGATCCCTAAGATTTTTCTTCTTTCAGGCATTGAAAATGGCATGTGAGTCATTAAAGCAGGAAGTTCTGCAGACCAAGGAAATTTACGGTTCCCCTTTGGTTAGAATCTCTCCTTTTCTTTCTTTCTTCGGGGTCTTGTTTGGTAAGTAGAATTGGCAAATTGAGAATTGAGTTGGAAATTGAAATTTTATGGAATTTTTTTATTTTTTTTCACTATGGAGTATTAAAATTAGTGTGTAAAAACATCAATTTTATCATAAATCAAATAGTGTGCTGATATAGGTAAACTTTTAGTATGGTAAATTAGTATTGATATTACGAGACAATTCTTTTGATATTCGATTCCAATTGGGACTCCTACCTTCTGTTTGGCCCAAAACGATGCCTAGAATGTCAATCCAAATTGGGGTACAATTGGACAGGCCAGGGTGAGGGTTTGGATGACTTTCGAGCCAAACAAGGTACCCGGTACCATAAATGTATCAGTTGGACTAATGTTATATCATGACATTGGAATGTAATGTCAAAAAAATAAAATAGTAATGTTGATCTTCAATCTCATACTATATTACAATAATAAACATGAAGTTTGTATTTAAAAAAATTGGGGACTTACGAAACTGAATTTTATTTTATACTCCTTTCACAACCCGATCAATAAAGCTCTATTCAACAGCTGTGACTTCGTAGTTATCAATCGGCTGCGGTTTTGTAAAGTTATTTGGTGCCCATTTGGTAACATCATAGGTTGAAATGAATGAATTCTCCCAAAGGAAAGCATGTGACAACATCCATTTCATCTAAATAATAAAAGCTTATTATTTTTTCCGCTGATATGAGGCAACCAAACGGAGCCTAAGCAAGAACTACGATTCTTCTCCGGTGGACTCGGGTTGTTCTATTGCTTCTTTGAATAGTCCCTAGCTCCAAATATTGTAGATCCAATTCTGACATTTGTACTTCCCATTTCAATCTGCAGCAACCAGCTTGTAAACATGATTTGAGTTTTCTAATGTACCAATGAACTTGGATTCATTTCATATGGAGTACTACAGGGTATATTCTATGTTAGAACCCGCCTATCTTAAAATGGTAGGGATGTTAGCACCCTGTTTGGTTCAAGGAATTTGGAAGGAAAAGAAAAGAACAGTTTTTCCCATTTTCCTCGCCGAAATGGGAGGAATTTGGTTTTCCTTCCTCTTGGTACATTATGTCTTCGCATTTTCTTTTCTTTTCCCATTCAAATTCCTTGAACCAAACATAGTGTGAATGAAATGCAAGAAGACGTATTTTCCTATTTCTGGTTTCACCTTAAAAAGTGTAAAGAAAAATGAAAGATGGATTTTTTATAAGCTAGGAAAAGTTGCTTACTGCAAGTTCAAAGTCACCGGACATGCCCATTGACAGCTCACATTGATCTTCGGTTATTCCAATTGTCTTGCACACCTCACTTCTACAACTCGCCAAAGTCTAAAATCCACAGTTTGAAATGTATTGTTAGGACATTTTACAGAGAAGAAAATAGATTGATGGCACTAAGGACAAGAATAACTACCTTAAAGTTCTCAGGCGTCGAAGTATAATCAGGCATTCCTATTGTCATTAGGCCGCAGAATTCAAGGTTAGGGCAGCTTGAAGTAACATGTTTGACAAGGCTCACACACCCCGCTGGCTCAACCCCAAATTTACCTGCAAAAGTTAGAAACTTGGGTGGTTCACTTATCTTTCGTGCTTTCCTGTACATTATCAACAACAAAGTACCAAGTTGGGTGCCACAAGTGGGGTTGGGGGACTTTACTGTACAAGAAACCCAGTAAAATCCTATAGAATGGGGATCGAGATTCGAGAGATGATTTGTGTAAACAAACCTTACCCCTACTTGGAAGTATAGAGACTGTTTCCAAGAGACCACCACCTCTTAGGTTCTAGTATACTACTTTCTGGTAAGGAAAGCATTTTACTAAAGAAATAACAAAACCAGAGACCTACTCCAACTTTTTTTTTGTTTACTCACTTTCTTCTCCGCTTGTATTAACTTGAACAAAAACCTTCAAAGGTTTCCTTCCAATGTTTCCAACTACTCGATTGAGCTGATTTGCAATCTACACGATGGGAGTAACAAACTGAACTGATTCAGTTGAAGTGTTATAGTAAAATCAACTGCAGTGAAAGTATGGGTTAACTAGATGCATGAACAAAAAAATGAGAGAAAATGTGTAGCATGATCAGCACAATGGTGTGGTTCAATTCTTGTGCAGTAAGCATGAAGTTGCATAAATATTCCATCCGAGACAATGAATCACTGAATCCAGAACTGTAGAGTTAGTCACGAACCCAAATGCTCGAATTAGTCTAGTATATTGTGGTAGCAAATATTATGATATGTTACCTCTCCATTTCTAGATCTTGTGGAGAATTAAACGTTTTTTCTTTTTCTTATACATAAATTTCATAGATTTTGTTGGAATTTGGTAACGAATTTCTGCACAGGTGATTTGTATCAATGTTTTCCCCCTTTTTGGCTTTTGTGCGCGAAGAGCAGAGAACAAAAAAGAAACACAAACCTTTTCGTCATCAACTGTCTCTACCATAGCGAGATTCGGCAGACCAGCTGAAAGGATAAGATATACCAAGTAGTTACGAAACAATGTTCACATACACAAGTTTGTATCTTACGGAATACTCCGTGTTAAGTTTATTTTTGAACGTTTGATGTTTCCACGTAAGCATTAGTATAAACTTTAAACGCTTGTTAGCCTACACATCATCAAGTTAAGTTTAATACTAGTACTAAAATACATCAGAAATGTTAAATTTGATCTATTGTAATAAATAGTTAGACATGTTAGGCACGTTTCACATCCTCTGTGGTCTTCTGAAAAGATAGGCTACCAACACTCATGAGCTCTGGTAATCAAGTATGTGAGAACCCTTCTATAATCCTACACCACGACTCACAATAATAAAACCAAACCCCCATTGCACTAGAGAAATATTGATATATTGGCATATTGCCAGGTGCCAAGTATCCATTTCTCACTATTCTCCCCATTCTCTTGTCTGTTTTGTTTTTTGGTGTGTTCCAATCTACCTTGGACATTTTTCATCAATAAAAAACATTGTTTTGTTCATCTTGTCTGCATCTTCTCCGAATATATCCCGACCACCCCAGTTTCACTTCTTAATTGTTGTGCCAAAGGATAGTAAATTGTGGAATGAAAGAAGGCAAACTGAATCAAGAAGGCATCTTATCTTACACATTAGGGGAATGAAAGAAGGCATTTTCTAAGCAAAACCAAATAAAAAAACTCACTTAAAGTCGAATGAATTCTGCTAATTGCATCCCCAATTTACTAACAAAAGCAAATCATTAGCTCCATAATTAGGTTTGGAAACATACTCAGAAGCAGCTTAACTTTATTGCTCTGCAAATTCCCAATGAAATGCCACTCTATATCCTCAGGAAGCTGCCTCGCAATGGACAAAACATCATCAGCATCATAGAAATAAAACTGAATCCCAATCAAACAATTCAATTCGAGAAACACAGAAAACTCCACCAAGTTGAGAGAGAAGAGAGAAGACCTGCGGAGCTTTCTCTACGAATTCTTGGACATAATTCTCGCCGAAACAGCGGTGGCCGACGTCGTAAACTTGGCGGATAAGAGAAACTGGCTTGGTCTTGCTCACCGCAACCACCCGGATCCGATCCGATTGACGGCTACATCGGTCGGCAGCCACCTGCACCCGCTGCAGAACCGATCGCAGCGCCGTCGCTGCTGCGCCGTCTATGGCGGAAGCGGCCATGCCCGATGATGACGGCTGAGGTGAATCGCCGACAGCTTCTTTCTCGGTCTTTCCTATGACCACTGATGTCATTCCCTACAATCGCCTCCAAACTATTGTTTGATGAGGAAGGCATTCTAATTTCTAAATTCTAACCAATATTTGTTCAAAAATATAGCTTCAGTACAAATAGAAATAAATAGATACTTATTTAAATGACATCAGTTACTTATATACCAGTTGCTTACATCAGTCCGTTTGGGGTACCTATGGTGCTCCGTTTGTAAAAACGACGGTTCCTACCCCCCTAACCGTCCCCCCTAAACCCCCCACCCTTGCCCCCCTCCCGCCCCCCTCCCTATCCTGGCAGTACATAAAATGTTTTTTAGAACAAGAGATGACATGTGTATTTTATATTATGAAATTAATATTAAAAATAAATAAAGTAAATAAAAATTGACAATGCAAATAAAATTTAACAATTTATTTCATAACGAAGGGAGTATTTGATTGCACATTTGCACCCCAACACACTTCCCCACAATCCAATCACTACACAACTTGTGATCTCCCCTTAATCGTTTATTCATTTAATCTGCTTAGCATCTTCTTTTTCTATTATAATTGTGTAGGATACGTCATTTGATCTCCTCTTGTCGAAAAGACTTTCAACATAAGGCATTTGACCTCTTCTTGTGTTCAGTTCGTCTGATCTGATTACAATTATAATTAAAACTATTTTTTATTTGATTATAATAAAAATAAATAATAAACACAAAAAATAAGTTAAACAAATGACTGACTACGATATATTTAGGAAAGCTTCATTCATCACATAAATATTACTATATGTTTTTTCTCAAACTTCGCTCATCACATAAACATTTTTTTTCTTAAATATAAACGGAAATGTTTTCCGAGCAAACAAATATAATAAAAGGTCAAAGCCCAAATAACAAACAGATCAGCAGCCCATGATAGCACAATTATAGACGAAGTTATTGGAGAACTTCCTGCCGAGCAAAGTCCACTTCACGCGCGGCCCATCACTAGGAGCCCAAGCATTGATCTCGATAAGCCCAGTTCCCGTATTGGTCCTCGGCCCAGATATCACAATGAGCCTCTTCCCGCACGCCCTGAAAGCCATTCCCCAGCCATTGACGCTGCATGTGCTCCTCGGCAGCCATCCAATGGAAACCCACTCCCCCGTCCCCTTCTCGTACTTCTTCAACACCATGCTCCGGTGGTCCGCCGCGTAAAGCTGCTCGTCCACCACCGCGATGAGTGGCGGTGCGCCGCTCTCAATCGTCCTCCCTCCTACAATTATTTAATGTTGGTATGATACTCGATCAATATCCCCGAGGGTCCGATGACCCGAGACGAAAAGGTTTTTTTATCAGCCTGAACATTTTAGAGAAAAAGGTAATTTGCGCAAATGAGACTTAAACATATTACTCCCTCCGTCCCATAAAACATGGGATGTTTTGCTTTTTGAAGAGATTTAAGGGAGTGTATTTTGGTATTGAATTTCCAAAAATGTCCTTTGATGTGATGGGTAAAAGTAGGATTTGATGGGTAGATTATTAGTAAAAAGGTATGATGTGATAGGTAGGGTATGAAAAAGTAAGGGGTAAAGGTGACTTTTTAATAGAAATGAGAAGTGTTTTATGGGACGGATGAAAAAAGAAAGGAGAAAGGTTTTATGGAACGGAGGGAGTACTTTTCTCTAAATATGACTTATCTTATTTACTCTAAATATGACTAGTCTTATTTACTTTAATGTTTAACAATAGAAAATTCTAAAATATTTTTTTTAAAAAAAACATACTCTGTATTACACAATTCAAGAAGAATAAGACAATATTAAAAATAATTTGAATAGTCATTGAAATAATGAATCATTGTCCAGCATTTGTTGCTAATGACCACTTTCGTAAAGTCGTTCGTATAATGAATCATTTGGCAACATTTGTTACTAATATCAGATCATATATATAGAACTATGTGCAATAAAAGTTATAAAACATACTTGATCCTATTCAGAGAAACGTAGCTCCTTGTAGTCATATATGGAGCAAATTTTTTTCTAGATAAAATTCTAATGCTATTGATTAACTTTTAAAATGCTACAAATAAACGTTGTCGTTAGATAACCTTTTCAAAACACTAACCATAAACGCTGATGTTGTTTCCAAATGCATCCTTATTAGTTTATGTCTTCTTTTTTTCTCTTTCATCACCTTTTTTTACTTTTCCTCTCTAACTAAAAAAAATCTATTTTCTAAATCATTTCCTTTCCTTTTCTCATTGGAGTTATTTGAACCAAACATAGTGTAAAGGATAAATTTGTACGTTTGAAAAAAATAGTATAGATATAACCAAATGAGAAGTGTATTTATAAATTTAATTATTAGAAATAATAACTTAATTGTATATGGAGTATATAATTAAAAGTAGAAGATATATTATTATCATTACTATTATTATTATAGTTGTTGTTGTTGTTGTTATTATTATTATTATTATTACCTCGGTTGCCAATGTTCGAGAGCGGGGACATATAGGGTATAACCCGCCACGTCCCCGCCTCAAGGTCGTACTCCTCGCCGCAAGTCAACAGACGGTTGTTCTTGCGGCCGGCGGAGGGTCCTAGGCCGCCGACCACGTAGAACTTGCCGTCCATAAACACGGCAGAGCACATCTTTCTCGCCCTGTTCATCCTCGGCAGCGGAGTCCACGACCCGGTGTCGGAGTTGTAGAGCTCCGCCGTGTTCACAATGTCCCCCACGGCGTTACACCCTCCGGCCACTATCCCAATCTCTCCCAAGCTTGCTGACCCAAATAACCACCTGTAACAAAGTTGTAGTATTAGAGAGGAAAAAATTATTGCAAATTTCTTACTCTCTCCCTTTTCTAAAATCATTCTTGTTTTGACTTGGCACAAATATATTTATTTTTATATTTTAACCTTCTAATTATATTATTATCATTGAAGAAAAAAGAGAGAAATCATTTTAATGACTTATTATATCAATACAAATTGAATGAGGTATATTACAATAACGTAACTTAATTTAGATATATTAGTTTTTTTTTACAAAAATAGAAGTATTACTTTATATTGCGTAAAAATATAATTTCGATATAATGTGAAGTTTTTTGTAATCCAGATAAAAAAGATGAGTTTTTTTGAAGCAATGGAAAATGATTATTACAAAAAATCGTAATAATAGCTTATAATAATAATAATAACTTCCTCCCAAAGTAGTGCTTGCAATTTGATTTATAGTGTTTGGCTGAAGTTTTTTAATTTAATATATTTAAAATTGACATGAAAATAATACAGTAATAAAAATGGAATATGTATTCTCTTCTTCTAAAAATAATTTACACATTTTACTATTTCAAACTCACAGAAACTTTAATTTATTTGGACTTTTATGTGATTTTTTTATAAAATTAAATATTTTGGTTACCTCTTATTTTGTAAAATATTTTATATAAATTTTGAATATGTAATTATTATTTTTTCTATACCAATTTTTAAATAAAATAAATTAGAAAAAACTTAAAAAATTTAATATCGTGTTAGAACGGATAGTGTATATTACTTCCTCCGTCCCATTTTATAACGCATGTTTCGGTTTACGATGTTTGACTGAATTTATTTTCAAACCATTTTATATGACAAATGGTATAGAATTAAAAAATAAAAATTACATATTAAAAAACTACATCAAAAGATCTACAAAACTAGTAGTGACAATAATATTTTATTTTATCAAATTGCTAACGAAAATAGAGAAAGAAAGTGAATAAAGTTTGACCCTGTGAATAGTGAACAAGCATTATAATTTGGGACGGAAGGAGTAAAAAACTACAGAGTATTTTTTTCAATATTAATACACGTGAGTTATCAATATCATACTTAAGAAGTACTATTAGTTATTTAGTTATCATAAAAAACATATTCTTTAATTTGGATTGCTGATCTGGCTATATTAATGTATGCCCTAAATAATCCACGTGAGTTATATACCATGAGTAATTAATACCACGAGTAATTAACTTGGTTGGACTTGTGAGTTGTGACATGAGAGCCTACCCAGACACTGTTCCAAAGTAAATTAAATCAAACATTTTCAAATGCCTTGTTTAGGGGAAAACATTTTCAATTACCGATAATGTTTTAGATAAAAATATTAAAAGTGTAGATTAATTCGAAAAACATTAAGGCCCCGTTTGGTACACGGAATTCAAACTATGGAATTGGAATTGAAGACTTCAATTCCAATTCTCGTGTTTGGTAACACAAAAATTGTGTGGCTTTGGAATTGGTAGTGCGTAAAATGAATTGAAACTGGTGAATTCAATTCTATGGAATTGAATCGCATGGAATTTTAGTTTCAATTCAATTCAAATTCCATCAATTCTGTGTACCAAACGGACCCTAAGGGTCCATTTGGTACACGGAATTGATAGGAATTGGAATTGAATTAGAATTATAATTCCATGAGAATCAATTCTATAGAATTGAATTCACCAATTCCAATTCATTTTTTGCACTACGAATTCCAAATTCACATAATTTTTGTGCTACCAAACGCTAGAATTGGAATTGAAGTTCTCAATTCCAATTCCATAATTTGAATTCCGTGTACCAAACGGAGCCTAAAAGCTATCGTCAGATAGTCTTTTCAAAACACTAACGCTAATCTCTAACGCTGATGGCAAATGGAGCCAGAATGGCATTGAATTTCAATGTCATAAGATGGATCGGAGATTAGAATGTTACAATACATACTTCATTCAAACCCAAATATTCCTTCCGTCCACTTATGATCTTTCCATTGCGTGTTAAGAGGCTTGGCCGACTTTATTTTCAATTCAATTTATTTGAATATATGGTAAAATTTTAGTATAAAATATGTGTAGTAATAAACTACATGAAAAGTTCTACAAAACTAGAGATGACAACACTATATTATTTTATGAAATGAGTAGTAAAAATAAACAAATAAAGTGAATTAAGTTTGCCCCCTACTCGTCACACAAGCACTTCAAATTACACTCATAAATTTAGTTGACGTTCTAGTTAAAATTTGATCAAAATTCCAATTAAACTTGGCGGTGCAATTAGAAATGCTTGGAGGCGGGTTAGGAGTGGGAGTTTATAAGGGAGCTGGATTGGATAGAAACCGCTT